AAAGAGATGTTAAATATTTATGGAAACAGTAATAGCTTCTTCAGTATTACAGACAGAATTATAGAAATTGTTTAAAATTTTACCTCTTAGAATGATAAATATTGAAGATGTTAGCAGTCCAAGTAACTATTCAGGTAAGATTCTGATGGCTTATTAATAATTTTACTTGAGTAAGGACCACACGACTTGGGCCCAAATGTTAAAGAAATGAAAATGAAGGATGTACCAGGACAGATTGTTATCTTACCTGATTTGATTCAAACCTGGAGTAACTAGGTCCTTCATGGGTGCATCTAAAAGAGTTTACTGTAGAGCTGACTAATTAGCTCTGCAGTAAAGTCTCAATGTCTACATGTGCGGGTCTATGAGGCGACAGAGGAAACTAATTAATTCTGCTGCAGGTTAGTATTTGTAAACACAAGTACTATCCTATGTTGGAGTTCTTTGGTGCACAGCTATGCACATATAGATGTTGACGAGGCTGACTGGGGCATGAGGGTGCTTCAGTGCAGGGGCTGCCTGCTGGCTAGACATTGCAACACATTGAGCTGGGTCGGAGCAGCTTCAGGCTGGGAGGCTGATCCCTTGGGACCCCTGCCAGCTGGGGCTGCTCCAACCCAGCTCAACATACTGTGGTCTCAGGTGCACATTCAAACATGGTGTCCAGGAGCAATAAAATCCAATGCGATATGAGCCAGAGATTATTACTCTGTGCAAATAGCACATATAGATTCTTATTTATCTGCACCCTGTCTTCTTTATCTGCACTCTTGGTTTATCCAGTACTATCCAGCTGAGCAAAGTCTGCTTTTCTAGTGTACAAAGTGGGTGAGAATAAGGTATAGGAAACATATTCTCTCCAGAGAGGAAGCCAGTCAGAATCTCTCTATGTACTGCCATAGCTACCTCATCCTCAATGGGAGAGGGTCTGTTGTTTGGAAGGGGCAACAGTGAACACGTCTACATGAGATGCTTATTGTGCAGTAGCCTAATAATACTGTGCAGTAGTATGCCAGTAAAAAAATGTGCTAATAAGCTACTGCACAGTGCTATTAGACTACTGCACAGTAACCCGCACAAAAAAAAATGTGTGCTGGCGCTACTGCAGTAACTTTAGCTATGGCGCATTTAGTTAGTAGTTCATTACACAAGTACTAAATTAAATTCACAGTAACTATTTGTGCACTAATGAATATGTAGATGTGCCCAGTGTGTACTTTTTCTACCACCTTAGTGGCTAGAGAGACTGCAGCTATGACTAGGACTTGCTAGGTAGGAACAGCAGGAGATGAAGTGAATTTAATGGACAAAGCAGCAAACAGGTGCAACCATGCACACTCTTGTACTGCAACTTCACAACGGTGGTGTTGTATGGGTTGAACTAAGTTTCTAGTTCACACCTTCTGCATAATTAAACTCCAATTCTGGCCCAGGCAAGTCCTTATTCAACGTTCTGGGGAAGGGCTGGAGAGGTGTCTCTCAGCTGTTTAAAATCCACCTGGAATTCCTTGAAAGTTCTGGTTTCTGGTCACACTCACCATTTCCTGAACAGGTCTGAAGCTGGTGTTCAGAGCAACAACACGGAACATCACTGAAATGACAGGAAACCAAATGATTAACATTAGCTGTGGTATGTCTACTGAGCTAGCAGTCCCAGTTTCACTGCAACCACCAGTTCAGGTGGTTCCTGTAGCTCTCCTTGCTTGAGAAAGGGACTGGGAAGTAGCAAATGAGATATGTGTCCTCAGTAAAGAGGGTCCTCTGGGCTAATGTTTTTCTATGCTAGGTGTTTTCAACCTTTTTTAATAAGTGTACTCCCGGCGGCTGGATGCGGAATGAGGGGGGTGGGTTTGGAGGGGGGAGGGGTGGCGCATGGCTGGACATGGAGCGGCAGCAGCACAGAGTTGTGGGTGATGGCAGCACCTGCTGTGTGCAAACTCCCTCTTGCGTCCGGCCAGTCAGGCGTTGCCTGTGTGGCCCAGAGAGGGGTGTCACTGTCCTCACCCCCCGCCCCCCCAGTCCTGCTCCTAGGATGCGGTGGTGCAGGGTGGTGGGTGGCGGCGCTTCATCCCTGCCTGCCTACACGTACCCCCTAGGGCCTTCCCAAGTACCCCCAGGGGTACATGTACCCCAGTTTTCAACCCCTGCTCTATATCATCTCTGGCAAATATATTAGATTAGTCTGTTTCTCCCTCAGTGACTATAAACTACCTAAATTTGCTCAAACAATTGTATTGCCCTGCTTTATGCAGTTTCCCTGAAGCACCTGATGATTTTAATGTGATATTTGATTTTTTATTATTCTTATGATCCCAGCTCCTTGGACATGGTTAATAATCATGTGAGAACCTGACACAATACACAGACGCAAGGTCTGAAAAGTTTCCAGCTCTTACAGTTGCAAGGAAAAGTTTGAGAATGTAAAGACAGGCAGGCTCAGAAACTAGAACGCAAATAAAAAGAGCTCTTTTTTTAATCCAATCTTTTATTCTACAAACTAGTCTCATGATTTTGGGTCCCGACTCAGGATTCCTGTGCTGCTGGTGTAGGCAGTGCTGCACTTGATTGCAGCTAGTACCACAGGCATGTTACTGAGGGTAAAGGGAGCACCACCCTCATGCATGTGCCCCATGGCTGGACCTCCTGAGTTGGCCAGCTTGGTCAGCAACCTTCCATTTTCAGCAGCTCCCAACAGGGAGCATCCATCAACACTCTGGGCTCCACCTTTTGCTTGAGGCCGCCAGGATTTTAACACCCTACTCTAAAGATGCAGCCCCACCTTGCCTGTACAAGAGGCAGAGGCAGTCGCATGGGACAGCCCCAGCGTGTGAAGTGAACTCCCAGAACAACCATCACAAACTCTCCACCTGCCCTCTTTGATATGAACACATGGGCATCTTTACATGTGCCCTGGGGTGGGATGCGGGGGGTGGTGTTTTAATTAGAGTGGCTCTCAGAAGCCACTCTAATTAAAATGCCTGCAGTGTCTCATGTATTCAGCATCCCGTGCATCAAAATGAAGGTGGGTGCACTTTAACTGAAGCTTGTTTGACAAACTTTAATTAAAGCACCCCCACCACCATTTTGAAATTGGGGGTGCTGAATACACATGACACTGAGGCTGCTAGAGCATTCTAATTAGACTGCTCCAGCAGACTCGATTAATCAAGTCTAACTAGAACTCGCTGGAGCAGGCATCAGGCACATGCATAGGTGCCCATAAAAGCATGTGGATCAAGCAAAAAAACAAAACAAACAAGCCTAATACAGGAAGCCCTATGTTGCTCACATCATTTTCCCCCTGGGGAGAGGATGAAGCTCACATGACAGATATTAGTTATACTTTCAGAATAGAACCCAGCCCTGGCACAGGACAGGTTAGGCAGTGCTCTAACCTTCCCATCCTTGCCACAGGGTCCTGCCAGCATTAAGGAAGCAGCTATGAAAGTTGCCCTTCTTCACACCTGGGTAGCCTGAGACATGGGCTATGAATGTGAAAAGAGAGCAAGTAAAGGAGGGAGAGTCATGGGCCACCTTCCATATGTTGTCTGTATCTGGGGATGGCTTTCCCAGCTTCACAGCAACCCTCACCCTGATGTTACTAGACAGCACTAAGCAGACCAACCAAACCAAGCTCAGGGTGCTAGCTGTCCCGGCATGCACTTTGCAGACCCTTTCTTTCTCTTGCCCTAGGTCAAAAAATCGGTTCTCAAAGGAGATGACATTAAGTGAAGCAGAGCACATGCCCACCTGTTTGTCCTGGTTTGTAGATGGGCTTGTCTGTGTGGATGAAGACAATGCTGTCCGTGTTCTGAATCGCCACAGACCTCCTCTCTAACAGGCGGACTGTGCGGCCCACAGCAGAGAATGTGATGAAGGCCAAGGGGGAAAAAGTGGCACGAGGAACCTGAGAGGGAACCAGAACATAAGGGAGATGATCCTGAGCTTATACTGTTCACTCTAGGAGCTGCTAAATAATACCGCTCACAGTCCTGAGTGAACTGTTGAAGCTTTCCCCAATACTACTGCTGCTCTGTCTCTTTCTGGAACGTTTCCTGTTTCTTCTCCACCTAAATCCATCCTTCTCTTCTTCTCCCACAGTGTATCTGTCATCTTCCTCCTTTCCTCACCTCATCTCATTCCTTCCATCTCTAATTTCTCTCTTGGTCCCATGCCCCTTTTCTGCCCCTTCCCCTTCTCCCCCCATCTCTGTCTCTATCTGTCATTCTCACATGCACATTATGAACTCAACTCTTTAATTTTGAGCACTTCCCATTGAAAACTTTGCACTCCCTACCAAACAACATAAAAAGGAAAAAAGTCTCTACCGTGATTGTGTTGCACTGGAAAGCATCCTTTTTCTTCATAATCTCATCAAAAATAGTTGTGTTGACAGCATTGTACTCCAGGACAATGCTGACAGACACAGACTCGTTGAGGTTCAGGAACTGCAGGCAGAGCTGATATGGAGAGTCATTCTGCAGCACTGAGGGGACCATCAGGACATACTGCCTATGAATGTCGCATGGAGCCGAACAGCAGAGCAGGTGGGAGGACAAGGAGGAACAACTCATTCAGTAAAGCCCAGGCAATGATAATTGAGAAGTAAATAGCTTTTCCATTGTGGGATCTTTAAAAGCAGACTCATGTCCTTCACAGAACCCTGTACAGCTCTACCAGTGCTCCTCACTCCTGCCCTACAGTGCTCCTGTTGACCCAGTCTTGGGCTCCCTATGCACCTCTGCCAGTCCCCCTTCATCTATACTACAGCACTTAGTTATATGAATCCAATAAAACCACAGTTATAATGCTGCCTCTCCCTTTTAGTGCCTTTCTTAAGCCTCTAGGTTCAGACATGTCAAATTTAGTGACAGTTTTCCAATAGGCAAAATATCCATTTTGTATAAAATGAGAGCCCACATCACTTTCATTTACTAACTCAAATTAGAGTTTAACCTAGATCTCCAGATAGGAATGGTGTGGGCAGCAGCAGAACTATCACCTCACTTCCCTGAGTAAAGAACATGTGATTTCTTACAGCTCAGGAGTCTGTCCAGCTGTTACATGAAGGAGAAAGGCACCCAAAAGAAATCTCAGCCACATGTTTGCCGATGAAGACAAAGGAAAGGCAGGGTGAGAATTGCAGGGTGGGAAGCTTCTCCTGTAGGGTGGCTCGTTGTCCGCAGGCTTAGTAGCACTTCATCATTCCTCCTTCAGAGCTGCAATGTGAGAGGCCGTTCTTCAGCTCCTCTCATTCTCTCTTCTGAGATGCTGGTGACTTTATAATCCCAGCAAGGGGTGGAGATCCTTGTCCATCCCACCTATCCCAAGGACCTCCCCAACACCGACTGCAACCCAAACCAGTTCATAATCCCCCACATTGCATCATTTTGCTGCAGCTCTGTAATCATGTCTGCAAAATGTCACCAGTGACCTTGCATGCAGGGAGTGGAGCTTTGCTTTTTAAACTGATGTGGCATGAAAAAGCAGGAAATGACCCAAAGCAGAATGAGCCTGTCAGACTAGTTTAACGCAGAGGGTTTTTTTCCTTTCTTTTCTTTTCTTTTCTTTCCCCTGCCACCTGTAATTCTGAAGGAATTTACCTACCAGGGTTACAGGCTGATTAAAGTGGATTATCTTTACATACATATTTTGATGCTGGAGCTTTGCTGAAATCTGTGTGCAGAAGTGAACTGCCAAAGAAGTGTCCATTGCTCTCCATTCTTCTTGGCTTTGCTGTTATCTTGAATTTTGCCTCAGATGATGAGACCTAAGAACAGAGAAACCAGAACTAGAAAAACATTTGGGACGTTACTTCTTACTCTTCTTCTTATCTTGGCCAATCCAAGATTGTTCCAGGCAGTCAGTTATTTAAGGCTTTGTCCACTCCAGTATTAAAATGATCCAAATGATAGGGCTAGTGCTCCTGGGTTGCAGTTTTTTCCCCTAGGTAGGATACAAGTACTTGCAAAGGAAATTACTCAAGTCTGGTAAGTAGGGAATCCCCTTACTTTAACTGGCAATCTTGTTCCAGGTTAAGGAATGAATTGTTCAGAGGGAAAAAAAGCCCAACTTTCTCCATCCTACCCCAGCTGACCAAAGGTAAACAAAATTGGAAAACCCTGGTTTGATGGTTTTGACTGTCACTTATCTTAGCATGCTGGCATTGGAATTAAACTGTTTTACCCTAGAGCCAGTTCAAGATAGATTTATAGTTTAAGCATACATAAGACAGTCACGCTCTCTTCTCCAACACTACTTTGTTGTGTGACCTTAGGCGAGCCATTTTCTTTGTCTCATTTTCTCCTACTATATAATCTAGGTCCAGTAATACCAACCTCACACCGCAGCAGTGAAGCTCGATTCCCTATTTATGTAAATGGTAATATACTGATAAGTATTATAAAAGAGTAACAAACCTGCAGCAACCAGTAACACCAGAATTATAACTACCCTATACTCTGCAAGAAGAATTTGGCCCATTTCTTTGGCACCATGGCAGCTTCAATAGCTCAAGGAACAGATGGCCTCTAGAGTTGACCCATTCCAATTCCACTTACTAGAGGCTGGTAGTACAGCATACAAACATACAAACTACCTAGTGCAACAGCTACCCTCAAGACTATTTACAAGACTTCCACAGTAATTAACCCCTTATAAAACAAGGAAAATTGGTTTCTGTTATGGCCCCCCTATGACTATGTTTCTGTCCTTCTAGTTCCCACCCCTATGATCCATTATCACCCACTACAATCCACATCCCTAATCAGAAGAGTAACTTTCTGAAACCAATTCCAAAGAGTTAATCAATGGGTTAAATGAAATGTCTGACCTAAGTGAACCCACAGGTGCCCTCAGACACGTAAGGCCTTTTTCTGCTTATAGTGTGCAGCTTTCCTGCCCTAACATACCTTGATGAAGGGAGGATAAAGTGCTTTTTTTAAAGCTGAACTCCCTATTGTTAAGTGCTGGCAACAACCATGTTATCTTTTTATATGTGCAGGCTGTAACAAGACCTGATTATCCCTGCAGGGCAGCAGTGATCCATACATTTCATCATTGGATGCCTCATGCTCAAGGCTCTCCAAGCTCTCTAATAGTCATACTGCTGATGGAGAATCTAGTGGTAACACACACCAGCACAAAGGGAAGGTGCAGCTGAATGGAACGCGGAGATTCTCAACCTCCTTTGTTTAAAATCAAACAAGGAAGACTTGAGGGCCAGAAACCACCATGCTCTGTGGCTTGGCTAAGTCCTTGGTGTAGAAGCATTGGTGTAGAAGCATTAGGATGAATTGACAATAAATCATTATGGGAATGACGCATGCATCTTCCTGGAGCCAGGTGAGGATTTTTCCCCTTTTGTGAACAGACCAGGTAGCTCATCCTCAAAATTTCACTTCATGCAGATTCTTGAGAAAGTGATTTTTTTTAAAGAAAGGGATTTTTTATCATCAAATATTTACAAAAATCACATGCTCACATGCTTTCACTGTCAAGCTACTTTTGCTCCTGAATGGCCCCTTTTTTGGTCAACCATGTTTTCCACTGAAAATGTTTATGTACTCATATACAGATAGGTGTGGAAATTTCCCCATTTCAGAGTTACTGCTATTAGTTATTTACTTACGAGGACGAGAAGCAGCATTCAAGGTTCAGTTCTTTTCCTTGCCCAGCTCTGGAAACAGGATGGCAGCAGGTTGGAGTTTTTTTACTGATTGAGAAGTGAGAGTTAACTGTGTGCGGCCTGTTTCCAGCAGAGACAGAATGGCAATGCTCCTGGCAGCAGAGTAACAGGAAAAATTCAGTCTGCAGCTTGGAGTTTTCATTTTAGTATAATCCTTATCAAAATTATTGCTATATTACTGCCTAGCTCTCTGACTTAGGCCAGGGACAGACATTCAAAAAGCCTGAGCCTGAATTGATTCAATCTTTCCAGGTTAGTCTAACCTGGGTAGGCTAAACTGGTTTGTAATGGCACAGACATGGACTGAAAAAATTCAGGCACATGCCTTCAGTGTCCCAGGCTAGAAGCCAGGGGGTGCTAGAACAGCCCTCCATTTCCTTGAACAGTGCTGAGCTGAGGAGTGGGGGGCATGACCAGGACCAGCAGGACTAAGGAGGGGTTTCCCCTCCCCCTCCTGAGCAGCCCAGCAGTGAATGTTTATAACCTGTAACTCAATGTTTATCAACCCATTAAGAAAACAAAGCCTTTCTCCATTCATTCAAGCTCTTCTTAAACAGCTTTTCCAAGGAAGGACATTACCAGCTATCTGTTGATTAGCTCCAAAAAGCCTGTCTGTCTTTGTCATCTCTCACAGCATGGACTGTAGCCAGCATGTGGTCTGTTAGCTAATACTGAGAGGTGTCTGTGAAAAGCAGAGGGATGGGGGTGAATAATCCCTGTTTAGCAGAGAGAAGCCAGGCAGATGCCTGAAGTCTCTGCTGGAGTTCCAGTGATGAAGCAGAGGGGAGGGGCCAGCCCTGCTGTGGAGCAGAGAGCCCCGCCTAGCCTAGAGAGCATGCCAGTGTCATAGGGGAGTCTGGTTTATCTTAAACCAGCAAGGGATCTGGGACAGACATTGCATAAACCAGTTGGAGCCAATCAGTTAAGTCTGATACTACATTCAACCAGGCTTATCTCAAACCAGTTTTAGCCATTTTCAAACTGGTTTATGTGTACTGAACATCTTTTCTGTTACAGGTTTAAACCAGTTTCTGATCACTTAAACCTGTTCATGTGTTTAACCTAGCCTTAGTGGGCATGTCTACATGAAACGCTGACTGCGCAGTAGCCAAAAAACATTGCACAGTAGCATGTCACAATGCAGACAGTGCTAATTATGCTACTGCACAGTAGTATTAGGCTACTGTGCAGCAGTGTCACGTAAAAGATGTTCATACAAGTACTAAAGAAATGTGCAGTAAATATTGGGCAGCAACATCTCAGGTAGATGTGCCCACTGAGTCTGGTATTAGTTGCTGATGTCTGAATGTGTATTCTTTCCCACCTCCACCTTCTCAAAGCTTCAGAATTACATTGGGTGATGACCCTTCGGTCTGAGCACCTGAATTTACCTAGGCCAGGTGTTAGCTGTTACACGGAAAAACCTCACATGGGTTCTGCGTCCTCATGGGGCACATCCAGAAGAGCCCGCACATGCCTCTTCCCATGTCTCAAAGCAGTTTGAGCAAGAGGCATGCTGGGAACAAAAAAAGAGTTCTCCAGGCTGAAAAAATAGTGGGGCAGGCCATGGTCCAAGACTGTGCCCAGAGGCAACTGGAGGCTCAGGTCCTCCACAGAGATGCCAATCAGAGCATCTCTATGCCTGCCCCTTGCCTCAACGCTGCAGCACACTGGGCAAACAGTGATGCAGGCTGCAGCAACTTTCACCTGGACTCCGTTCCACGTAAGTAGCAGGGGGGGGGCTGGAAGGGGCGGGTACTGTGAGGGTGCAGGGGACCATGGGGGAACAGCTTGGAATGGGTGGCTGCCCCCACCCATAGCGCACAGGGCCCACATGCCCCCTCTTAGGGCCCCAGCCCCCCTGCATGGCCCACAGCTCACCCACAGCAGCAGGAGCTGTGGCTGTAGGGCCAGCTGTCCCCACATCCTAGTTAGTGAAGGGGTCAGGGGGCGCTCTAACTGTTCTATGATAAGAAAACCAAAAACAAACATCAAAACATCTAGATATTTAGAATTTATTTTATTATGATGATAGAGACACTGGTAGGCTTCCAAATTACTTTAAATTTGTAAAAATATCAATAAAACATTGTCCAACTATATATAAATAACCCTTGCCGGCACTCTAGGCTGGGCGATATGCCGCATTCTGGATCCCCAGGGTGCCAGTAGCCCTGGGACCCACCTCAGGCAGGTCTGCTGACTGAGGTGTCCGTTGAAGAGGTGTGTCCCTCAACCTCACTGCCCAAGAATTTACTTTAAGTCCAATAAACACATGGGTTTCTTATACACAACAATATGCAGAAAAGAGAAGATTAATCAAGAGAAGAAATATATATGCGTGTGTATATAACATCAAGGCAGACAAGGTTCCTTGGGTGAATTTGATATCTTTTATTAGACCAACCCAAATAGT